AAAACTTCGATTGGCATTATGGCCAAGCCCTTCGATTGGCATGGATACAAGGCTTTTCGATTGACCTCATGGCCAAGCCCTTCGATTGGCATTTATACAAGGCCTTTCAATTAGCCTCATGACAAGCCTTTCGATTGGCATGGTGTCAAGGCCTTCGATTGGCATTTTGAAAGACCCTTTCGTTTGGCACCCTAGGCCCGGCCTTTAAATTTGCATGGCAAGGAATCCTTCGATTTAGCATCTCAAACAAGGCAGCTTCAACAGGCATGTTAACCAAGTACCCTTCGATTGGCCTTTTGGCAAGGCCCTTCGACCGGTGTTTCAACAAATACACTTCGAGTGGTATTTTGGAAAAGGATTTTAGAATGAAAGGAGGATGTTCGAAGGAGGCAAATGTCCAGGTTCATCCAAGATTTCAAAAGGGGCATGAATATTTCAAAAAGGAAACCTTTCAATTTGTCTAATTCTTGTCACCTAGCTTTAAAGGCCTGGTTAAATGGCTCTCTTGCCATTACTATAGAACACTCCTATAAATATGAGGCCAATGACACATTACAGGGGGAGACGAAAAAGAGAACACACATACATATTGCACACGAAGAGACTACATACACACGTTGCTCAAAAATCCCAAAAGCCTCTCAGTCGAAACACCTTTTGCAGGTTCCCTCATCCAGGAGTCCACCCCAACTCCTAAACAAACATCTCCACACCTAGAGCCACAGATCATACATCTTCGATTGGTAAGGGTTTGCAAAACCAAAATTGCACCTTCATGACATTTAAATACACATTGCACATATATTCCTGTTGTTAGTGATTATGTTGCATGTAAGCTAAAGCCCAGATATGAGATCATGCCATTGCTGGGCATGATCTAAGCCTTCCCTTCGAATCTAAGAACAACACAAACCCATATCCAGACTCAGCAGATTCGAATTGGAAGGAGATTCAAATCAGGGGGGTAAAGTCCCCTCTGGGTCTCTAACGTTTGTTTTGTTTTGCAGGGAACATCTTCTCAGAATCTTGTTCAGAGCTTCGAAGCAGCTCAGCTTCGAATTGAATCCAGGGTTCCCAGATCGAAGCATTGATATATCCAGATCAAACACTCCAAAGTGCACCCCCTCATGCACCTTCGATCAAGCCTTTTCACTGGATCGAAAGACATCCCAAGCCTCTTTCGATCGAGGCCTCCAGAATCACACTTTTCTTGATTTACTGCCATATCCTTCGATTTCATTTTCGTTTTGACCTTTTTTATTTCTTTCTTTAAAATTCAACATAAATCAATAGAAAAAACCACAAAAACATTAGGATAGTTTTTTCTCTTAAACTAATTTTATTAATTAATCATTTAATTATCTTAACATTTTCTCAAAAACTAAAATTAAAAAGATTTAGATCATTTTCCCAAAATAAAATAAAACAACAAAAAGATTTTATTCTTAGGATTTTTAGACGTTATTTTCAAATTCGCGCGCGTTTATTTTATTGTAAATGCCTACTAGTTTGTAATAGCTTAATTAGGACTTTTATACTTTACTGCTTTATTCCCCCAATTTTGGATATGTAAATAATCCCCCTCCCCGAAGCATTGCATTAGCGTAGATTTAAATTCCCGCACTTTAAATTCCTGTATATATATCAACTACTTAGATGTATGCTAACTAGGATTACATGACAAGATCTGAAAACAAATGGTAGAACATCTAAATGTTTAAAGATAAATAACTGAATTGAACACACTTGCACACAAGCACCTTTAAGGTACGCCCACTTCGGTTGACTTTAATAAAACAGTCATGGGGAAGGAATGCTTTAGCAAAGACCCGTAAAATCACAAGATCATAGTCCCTCGATGAACCTACAGTTTCCTTCTCGATAAATGATCTTGTCCCTAAAACAGAATTGCTAAAGCATCTCCACAAGTTGCCTTCGTGACTGTAAAATGTCCCTTCGATTGTCCCTCAACATCCAATGATAAGGCTACCTACTCATTAATAGTAGGATAACATTGTCTAAAGGAAAAGAGGAAAACAATGACCCTTTTCGAGTAATAAAGTAGATAACTGTTAGAAGTTTGCTCAAACATTTTGCACTTACACAGAAAACTACTTTTCAAAAACAATTTCAAAACACTTTGTATACTTTCTCTACTATCCCGAGAAACATTACAAAGTTCTCCGTACTAAGGCGTTTTTCAAAACATTTTCAAACACACAAAGCACAAAGGTATTTCAAAATGAGCAAACCTCTAAGAGCCCATAGATAACTACGGATGGAAAGGGTGCTAACACCTTACCTTTCCATAATCTACCCCCTTACTCAGAAAACTCTCGAAAATGTATTTTTCTGTTCTTTTCACCCTTTCCTTTGTTGGATAAAAGAAAAGACGGTGGCGACTCTTGCTTACCGCGACATTTGCTAACAAAAAATGCAAAACCAGTATATAACAATCGGTTCTGCCACCGTATCACACAAACAAATTCAGATACAGCTACAATAATTATACGCACAAAGAAACAATTCTTCACAACCCAATCCCTACATATTATCCATCATAATTCGCATTATAGAGTCAGAACCCCACCCTTACCTTAGTTTTACGGTCGCTCTAACTCTCCAATCGAAAACCTAGCTTTGCGTCTTTTCTATTCGTCTTCTTTGCAACTTCCTACGTTACTGCACCAAGACTTTCTTAATCTTTCTAATTAACCTAATTCTTATATCAACTTAACCTTATTTCATTAATCTTACTGGGCCTAACTTACACACCCCCACCTTACTACGTACCACCATATAAATATGCCCAACAACTTAATCTTATATTATTCTAATATGATTGTTAATATTAATCAACTAAAATAACCAATCAAATAACAACTTAGCAACATATAGCAACATCTCACACATTTTAACAAATAATTCGAAAATAATTTAATTAAATAATTAATTAAATATCGGGTGTTACAAGGAACACTTGTCCTGGTGGTGAAGGTGCTGATTGAAAGGGTAGAGGGCGTGGGTTTAACACCCAGCCCTGGTAACTTTTTTTAAACCCCTTATTTTCTTATTATTTTCACTTATAAACCCTAAATTCATCAAACTAAAACCACTTTTTATCAATTAATTTTTTTCACAAACCCTAATCAACATTAGGGTTTAGTTTTTTTGTTAAATTAATAAACTTTCGTATTTTTCAAATTATAATTAATTAGGGTTTTTAGGTTTTAATTAATTAAAATTAATTTAGGTTTTAGGTTAATCATCAAATCTTTTATAAAAATATCACCAAAACAATTCCCTTCCTCTTTCTTTTATTTTACATCTTCGCGTAGTTTACTCTTTTCACGTTGTTTACAATTATGTAACTGCTCATGGTTTGTAATTGTTAATTAGGGTTTTACTTTTGCCCCGTATTTTATTACTTGTAACCCCATTATCGCTTTACTATATTTGTTACTATATCTTATTAATTAGGGTTTGCATGAAAATACGAATAATAATCGTTAGCTAACCCTAATTTCAAAGATTAAAAATAACTGAAACACAAATCATTTGCACAGGCGCACCTCTAGGGTAACCTCCCTTGTTGCCTTTGATAAACACAGTCATGTCCCTCGAACGTGGGGACGCTTTAGCACTGTCCCTCGATTAAAAAGATTGTTTTCCCTCGATGACCCTTTCGAATCGATCTAGTCCCTTACGAAATTGCTAAAGCGGCCCTACAAGTTGCCTTCAATGACTGCATGATGACCCATGCCCGTCCCTTCACATCCAACGATAGGGATTCCTACTAACTAATGGTAGGATAACATTATCTAAAGGAGGAGGAAAAGAACAATAAAGACTTTTAGTAGGTAGACAACTGTTAATCGCTTGCTCACAAACCTTTTCAAAACAAAAACATATTTTCACAAAGACTCTTCAAAAATATTTTCAAACAAAACACTTTGTATGCATTCTCGAGGACAGATACAACAATCATTACAAAGTTTACCTTACTATTGGCACTTTTAAAATATTTTTGAAACACATTCACAAAGCATTTTCAAAATGAGGTAGCGATTAAGAGCCAGTAGATAACTACGGATGAAAAGTGAGCTAACACCTTCCCTTTTCATAACCTACCCCAGAACTCAATAAATCTCAAAGGTCTTTCCTGTTCTTTTCACCCTTTCTTTATTGGATAAAAGAAAAGTCGGTGGCGACTCTTGTTATCCACAACATTTGCAATCACTACAAGAAAAATGATAGATTGGGACGGTTATTTTGGCTGATTACGACGGTTAAAACCGTCGCAATTTACAATCTACGACGGTAGAAGTACCGTCGCAGAATCGTGCGTCCCCAGCCTATTTCGCAACGGTTGCAAAAACTGTCACGCACAACAGATAGCGACGGTTATATACCGTCGTGAATTTGACTTTATTTTTTGTTTTTGTTGTTGTTTGCGACGGTTATTCTACCGCCGTAGGTTAGAAATTGCGGCGGTTTTAACCGTCGTAATCTGATTTATAAATTTCAAATAATATTTTTATTTAAATTATTATTTAGTAAAATAATTTTAAATATAATATTATTTTACTATAATATTTTACTATTATATTTAAATTATTATTTACTTTAATATTTTTTTATTTATAGTATTTTTATTTTATTTTCTATCACTTTTCAACATAATAAAGTTAATTACAATAAAAACATTTAATATCAAATAATCATCAATAATATCAAAAAAATGTGATCAAAGGTAAAAAGAAGTGCAAATTTTACCAATAAACAAAAAAAATTCAAATATCATCAAAGGCCAAATTTCATTTTAATATTTACATTGGTTTGCTACAACTTGAGAGAATTACAAAAAATGTTACAATATTTACAATATTTACATTGGTTTGCTACAACTTGAAAATATAAATCGAGCCTATTGTTCTATGTTAACCATGTACTCTAATTCGGTCATTTATCAGAGATCATGAAACACAAGAAGATCGTAGTTATTCGGCCTTTTTGTCAGTCTCTACAGGAGCCTTAACGTCCAAGCCCATCTCTCGCATTTGATGTTCAACAGAGACTAAACCAGTTTCTGCAAGAAACCTGCAGAAAAATAAAAGCATTGGAAGATCAACAGAACAATCCTAACCAACAACTGATCTCATAGTTAGATGTTACAAGAAACACAAAGCATCTCATGAGTTTAATTTGATATCTGATACTACAACAATAAAACATGCATTTCCTTTTCATTTGGTTTACTCTCGGAAATTTTCCACCAGAAGGATGCTGAAAAGGTCTGAATCATTTCATCAAAACAGAACAAGCATTATGCAATTATGATACATCAACTAATCATATATGCACTTTTGTTCCTTCCTAGTCTAATGCACCGGGTGAAAGAAAAAACCTAAGTTCATGACTAACGATATTATCGATCCATCACAAAGCATTTGACATAGCAATACACAAGGCAACAAACACGCGCATACACATAAAACTTCACTAATACTTCATGTATAAAACCCACCCATTCCAACTACATTACTTCCAAACTAGAATATTTGGCAGTTTATACAGGCAAAATGTTTGCACAACATCAACATATTCCTAGATGAGATATTTTTCGTGAGATCAAATGGTGGACAAGTAGTTAAAGATAGGGAGACCTAGCAAAAATTAAACCATTTGAAAGATAGATCTAAAGCTAAATGATTCATAATTAAAGATGATTCATGGTAGGACATTATGATTAAGCTGTCACATACACAATGAGAAAAATAATTCTCCGATTGTTGTTGTTGTTCTGTTTTGTTAGGCTCAATTTTTAAAACATAACAAATGTAGAATAGAACTCACATACAACTCCACACCAATCTAATATGTCTACAGAAAACTACTCCTGACTAGTTTCTTTCGAATCCAGATTTCCTCCAGTCTAGGAAGATATCTAGTCAAACAGTCAAGAGACAAGATCTCGACCACTGGATGAAGATCAGTAAACTCATGTCTAGTTTCACCAAACAAGCTTTAAAATACAAGTCATCCGATCAGCATCGAACGACAACATAAAACCCAAATCCTTACATTACATTATGGCTAGCAGATTATAGAGTGAGCTACTCAACAATCAATCAGCAGCATACAAAAACAAAAACAAAAGGGATTATGAATTGGTTCATGTTCAATCAATACTTCACATGAACACTTTACATACAAAACATGAATGATAATCAAAGCAATTACAATATACAATTACAGAAGGGATAAATTAGTGAAAGGGTAAGAGTGAAAGTACCAGCTAAGAAGAAAGAAGAGGGTAACACAAATTAGAACAAGAAACGCAACATGAAGCACCAACCACGATTTATTGAAAGACTTATTGATATACTGTACTATACAACACAACATACAATTTATTATTTCAAGATCGTTTGTCTTACTATGCAGTAGTTGAATGGGAAATGTAGATGCTGGCCTCTCAAGAACCAAGCTAAAAGAACTTGTTTACTCATTTAGCACTTTCCTGAGTAGAATTAACTGCTAAATATGTTCTTAACCCCTATAATTAGTTAACTTCCTATGTTAATTCCCTAATTAATTATTGAAAACCACATTCAACTCAAAAAGTAAAATCAGAAGCCATACTGTGTATCTCCAACGTCTTTAACAAGACTATTCTGAGATGAATCACCAGCTTTCTTCAAAGTATCACCGACCATAATTATTCTGGACTTCTCCGCATTACCCTACAATAACAACAACACAAATCACAAACCTTCGTCGGTTTATCAAAATGAACCTCAATGAACCTTCATCGATTTATTACTTGAATATATTAAGAAGCTGCTGATATTCAGAATCCCCCGGAAACAAAGCATGTCTCCTCACCTTTTCAGCTGCATAAACAAACAAACAATCAATCAATCAATCAATTACATTTCCATCATTAATAGAGAAAGAAAAGTATCCAAATCACAAAAACCGTCTTAAGAGATTCACGATAAAGATTTCTTCATTCATTCTTGGGCAAAATTATTTATTCTTGGTTGTGATTATTAAGACTATGTTTTAAAACCACCCACCATGTTACATTTGAGTCATGACCTGTCCATTCAAATTTGAACAATCTCATACCACCTTCACCTTTGAGGAATCTCAATTAAGCCACGACCTGTGTCCTTCAAATTTGAACAATCTCGTACCACCTTAATCTTTGAGGAATCTCAATTGAACCACGACCTGTGTCATTCAAAATTGAAAAGGCTGGTGCCCCTCATATGAAGCGGTGGCCAAAAACTAGAATCTCAAACGCCAATTTATGAAATCTAAAGAAAATAACGCAGCTTGTGAGAGAAACATAGAAGCAAGAAAAAAAAGAGATGTGAAACAGGCACGCACTGAAGGTCTGCGAGAAAAATATGGGCAACGATCACTTTCAATTTTAATTGAGGGATTTAATCTTGATAATGTACATTTTGCTTAACCCGTGAGTATTTGGAATTGGATCTAGTGTTAATACTTTTGTCTGAATTTCAACAGGCACTGCCTCAACAAAATTATGCACAACCTGCAGCTCCGGCACAGCAACCTGCAGCAGTTCCTCAGGCCTATTACGGGAGTTACTACTGAGGTGATCGAGTGAGATGGCTACTGTTTTTGCTTCATGTAATTTTTGCGTTGAATATTGTAGGTAATTTGTTTCTAGGTAATTTGAAGTATAGATCAGGGTAAGCTTCTTTTTGACTCGATTGTAGTTAGTTGTTGCCTATGAGATTTTCTTGATATTGGTATTTTCACGTTATGGTGCTACACTTTTTACATATTACTACAATATCAATCTAATATGAACGACTTGACAAATGAAAATTGTATTTTGAGAGAAGCTCCTTAGCATGTCTTTCGAAATAAAATATTATTCTTGTGTTAAAATGTCAGTAAAAGTGACTTGGTGGGTGATAACTATAGAGGGAAGATAAATTTTATTTAATGTGAGTTGCTTTCATCCAAGGCAGCTGGTTTAGAGCTATGTAGTTCATGCATGATTGGTAATCCATTCGAATATTTCACATAGTTCATGCATTATTATTAACAGAGATTGAAAATGTGCAAATCCCAAAAGAAAGTTAAAAAAAAAAAAGACAAAAATAATGCTTTCTTGACTTTCTAAGCCTTACATAATCTGAAACTAAGACTTCTAACATGACAATTCATTTGAAACGGATGGAGTTACCAGAGTTTAACTGCCTACCGCCGCCGCTGGGGATGGCAGCTGGCCAGACAGTGTATGAGCATTGGTTAACGATGTCAAATCTCGCTGCCTGTGCAGATATCAAGCACAGACTAAATAGAGAAAATACTGATATTTTTATGAGAGACATTTTTCTGGGAGTGAATTAAACAATTAATAATAAGGATGAGAAGAGAGTATTTTGTGAGTAGAATGTGGGAATTGAGGCAAGTTTATATAGGCCACAAACGTGACCTTAATTATTATGATACTCAAGTGTCGTATGTGGAAAATTATTTAAACTAAAAAGTCTAGTTTTTCATGCTCTTTCAAAATTGCAAATAATGACTCACACGCCGTGTCTATTACTATATATCAAAGTTAGTCTTGATGACATAAAACAAGCATGAGTATAATACAGTTAACTAGCCATTAACTATAAACACTGAAAATGAAATTCTCACCTTAGCAATAGACTTTGAGCAGCCAAAGAAGCAGCGGAATATTTCACCTCTGCAATAACAGCAGGGGTTGCAAGGGAGTTAAAATCTAGACAGGTATGTTATATTAAGATGCATCAAACTATAAACTTTTTATACACGTGAATAAAACAGAATGCATCATTAGGAAAAGCTATGTTTAACTGTTGCACTAAAATTCTTATAAAATTAATATTGAAAAGTTTGAATATCATCACAATTTGGCACACAAATTGGATTTCAATTGAGTAATTCCACATCTGAATCTTTATTATTAAATAGCCTCCATGCAAGTAAGAACACCTTATGAGGCACCAATTTGTTCCAAATAACATCACAAGTTGAAGAATCATTTATGTTGACATGATCCATGCAAGTAATAACACCTTATGAGGCACCAATTTGTTCCAGATAACATCACAAGTTGAAGAATCATTTATGTTGACATGATCCTGTTCATATGGTAATCTCTTTTGAATGAATAGCATTCTCTCGAGTTCTAATTTCACATCCAAACATTTAACATATTTTCAAAACGTTAGCCAACAAAATCCTACCACCTCATCTTCCTATTGACATGGTCTCTGTTCCCCGTCATTCTAAATAACGTACTAAATCTATTGAAATTCTTGAGCAGCTCTCCTCCCACTCAGGATCAAACTAAAAATATGTATCTGACCATTTCCTACCAACTTTATACCTGGAATGTAATCTCTACCATTCACCAACCCATACTTAGTGAAAGTTGCCAAGCGGAGACCCCACGTAAATCACAGAAGAACACGAGTGTTTTTCTATTAAAAACAGGAAGTCGTAATAAAAATACGGTGCCTGATGAGAGAATCGGAACATCTTCTCTTTAGGAATCCTCTTAACCTCATTCTGGTCCTGGTGCCTTCGAAATACTGTCCTAAAGCCAGGAAACTTAACAAGGGGAGTGACTGATATATCAATATTATTATTACAATTGCAAAACGACTACTATCCCATTTGGATCAGTATATGGTCCTCTTATATCAGTTTTATGCCTAAAACAACAAATTAGAAAACCTAAAAATCATAAAAAGAAATAAAACCCTAAAATAACAAATTAGAAAACCTAACATCAATTCAATATATTCAAACTCAAAATCAATCATCACAAAGAGCTCAACCATAAGATTCAAGTGAATCTCCAATGCTGAAATCAATGGCAGAGAATGAGAGAGATGAGAACAATGCAAAAAGTGATACATAAAACTTACTGTGTTTGAAGAGATGAACGCAGAGGATGTAGTTTCCATTGCTGTGCGTTTTTTGGTGTGAATATGAGCGATTTGAAGAGATTCCGGGTTTCTTTCGGTGTGAAGAAGAACGGGTTTGAGTTTGCACTATAAATCATTATAATTAATTCATTTCTATTATAATGAGAATCATTTTTTCATTCAACTTTGTGCAAATGCATTTTTGTGGAATATTTTTAATCTCGAAAAGAAATAAAAGTGAAAAATAATGAACTCATAAATTTTCAATTTTTTAATTTCTTTTAGTTCTAAGATCTTTTTTAGTACTAGACATTGGATAATATATTTTAGGGTTCATAATTTGTAAATCTAAATTTTAATTTCATGTTATATTTGAATGTGTTAATGATGGATATAAAATCAAATTTATATAAATCTCAAAAAAAAATTGTTTTACCGCGACAGGTGTTTTACCGTCGTGCCCATGAGAATTTTTAAAGGTTTTGGGTGCGACGGTTGTTTTACCGTCGTGAAATGAATTTTAGGACGGATAATTTTACCGTCGTGAAAGGTTTAAGGGTGCGATGGGTGCTTTACCGTCATGATATGCCTTTTATGACGGTTAATTTTACCGTCGTGACTAGTTGTTGGTGAAAAATCAATGTTAAAAGTGTTAAATGGGGGCCGACGGTTGTTTTACCGTCGTAATAATAATATTATGATGGTTAAATATACCGTCGCAAAATAAATATTAGGGACGGTTGGTGTCAACTGTCGTAAACACTGTCTCTATATGTCAATTACGACAGTTATCACATAACTGTCGCAATTTTTGTGTCGTTAAACACTAATTTTCTTGTAGTGGATAAAACACAAAACCAAGTCAGTTCTCCCACTATATTATAGAACTAGTGACTCTGCCAGGGAAGACTAAAAAGAGGGGTTACCTTAGAGTTTAGGATTTCTTTACTTGTCTTTACTTGTTTTCTTTGACTTCTTTACATTTGGAGTTGCTTGGGTTTACTTTCTTGCAAAGATCCTATACTCGGATCTGGGGATACCTTCCGTAAGTAGCAATAGATCATGGAAACTATACGGTGTATATTGATATGGTTGAAGTGATGGCTATGTTAGTGAGACACATTGGTTGGTACTGGTGTCCCCTGAGTCAGTCGGAGAGAATACTAGGCTGCTGCGTGGTGTCAGAAGCACTAATTGTCCTATAGAACCTTAATTAACCCAACTTAGCCATTAGAAGGTAGTGAGATAGCCAACTTTGGTGCAGTCTGAAGTTGGTTGATACTCGATACTACGCTCATTGAGATTCGACTCTCGGGTTTTGTTTGGTCGCAAGCCAGTTTCCGTGCTAAACAAAACCTGTGGGAAAAATTAGTGATATTGAGATCCCTAGAACCTGGTTACTTCTATAGGACAGGTTGAGCCAACTAAACTTCAAGAGGGTACTCACCTACGAACCCCACATAAACCTTAAACCTAAGGCTCTTGTGTGCTTTATTTGTGTTTATTATCTGTTTAAACATGACATCATAACATCATATCATGACTAACCATTTCAAGGATGTAGGGTGTAATACGGTGGCAAAACCGACTGTTATATTGGTTTTGCATTTTTATTCGCAAATGTTGCGGATAACAAGAGTCACCACCGAATTTTCTTTTATCCAACAAAGGAAAGGGTGAAAAGAATAGGAAAGACCTTTTTTAGATTTTGAGTTTGGGGGGTAGGATATGAAAAGGGAAGGTGTTAGCAGCCTTTTCACCCGTAGTTATCTACAGATTCTTAATTGCTTGCTCACTTTTGAAATGCTTTGTGTGTGTTTGAAAATTTTTTGAAATGCCAAATAACAAGGTAGTTTGCTTTATGATAACTCTTGTATCAGTCCTCAAGAGTGTTGATAAAGCGTTTTGAAAATGTTTTTGAAAGTGTGAGGTGTGAAAAAGTGTTTTAAGTTGTAAGCAAGCAATTAATAGTAACTACCCACTAAAGGTCTTTCTTGTATTTTTCCTCCTCGTTTAGATAGTGCTATCCATACCATTAGTTATCAGGAAGTCCTATCTTTGGATGTGTGAGGGACAGGCGCGGGTCATTGTTATGGTCATAGAAGGTAACATATAAGGATACTTTAGCAGTTCGAAGAGACTGTCATCATATATTCATAGGCAACATCAAGGGACAAGATCATTTCTTGTAGGCAACTCGAGGGACATCGATGGACTATGATCTCTTATGATGATTTATACCGAGGGTCTTTTCTAATGGTATCCCTATGTTCGAGGGACATGACCATGCTTACCCGAAGGCGACAAGTGAGGTTACCCTAGAGGTACGAGTGTGTAGATAATTCAGTTTGGTTATTTATCTTGCATCTATGATTTTGCTATCGATTTGTTTTATCTTTCCATACAATCCTATTAACATACATCTAACAATTATATTAAAAGTATAAAATAAAAATGCAGAAAAGGAAAGGTGCGGAAAGTAAATCTAAACTATTACAAGGCTTCGGGAGTGGGGGGTACAAAACCATAAAACTGGGGGAAAATAGTAAAGCAAATAAAATCCTAATTCAAGCTATTACATTCTGTAGCAATTACATAATAGGAAAAAAAATACGCAGCAGTAATAACATACGCAAAATTATAAAAGGAAAAGAAAAGAGAAAATTTGTTTTGATTAACCTAAAACCTACTTGATTTTAATTTAATTAAGAAAAACCTAAAAAATCAAATTAGGGTTTATTAAATAAAAACCTAAAATTAAATTGAGTTGATTAAATTAAAAAACCTAAAATTAAATTAAAACTTAAAATTGATTAACCTAAAAATTAAATTAGTTTTTTTTTTGTAAAAGTTTTCTGGTTAATTGAATTTAGGGTTGGAAAAGACAAATTAGTTAGAAACAAAAAACAAACAATAAAAATGCTAGAGGTGGATGTTGAACCTAAAATTAAATTGAGGTTAATGATAAAACCTAAAATCTAATTGATTTTAAAATTGCAAAAAAAGTTAATTAATTTAAATTAAAAGTTTAATAAAAAAACCTTTAAAAAAATTAATTAATTTTAGTTAGTATAAAAAAAATAATTTAAAAGTTAATTAAAAAATATAATAAACTAAGAACCTAAACAATTAGGGTTTAAAAAAAATTTATGGTAAGGTTTGTTAAAAATGTTAGGTTAAATTTGCCAAAAGAATTAGGGTTTAAGGGTAAGAGAATTAAGGAAAAAACCACATGTTGAAAGCAAAACCAAATAAATGTCAGGGGTGGGTGTTGAATGCACGCCCTTAGCCTCCTTAAGATGCCTACCTTGCCACTAAGCCATGTATTGATTGTTGTTATGATCCAGCTTCAGCGTTTTGTAATAACCCTGCATGGGACCATTAGATGGTCCAAATCTGCAATGTTGAATCTCATGAACACATTATAC